CCTCTGAACGTTTTGAGGAAAATCAAAGACTCACAGATATGACAGTTTGTGAGTACTTGATTGAGCTTCGGTTCATACCCTTTCCTTGTCTTTTGAATATGAGTAGCAGTTTATGCCTGTTTAGGATTGGATTTTCAAATTCTTTTAAAGTACAGGGCGATTGTAAATATTATCCTTAGACGGAAGAATCTGTCATACATAAAATAGAGAGTAACCTTCCAATTACACTGTATATTTCTACTCTATATTTCTAACGTCAACGCATGAATTCTGAAATTTTATTCACTAATTATGCTTGTAAATATTATGTAAATAGATTCTCTTATCGTCTGGTTCACACTCCTTCCAGGAGCAGAGGTTTATTCCTTGTTTCCTGTTTAGAATTGAGTTTCCGGTTTAGTTTTGTTTGTTTTGTTTTACGGCATATCAACCTCGATATGGTAGACCTAGGAACACCAGCAGTTCAGATGTGGTTCCACGCTCCTCAAATTCAGCTAATCAGAGACCTTGCTGTTCAATGTAGTTTATCGTCTTACCCAGGACGATTGGTTTTCCAGTTCCTTCTAAATCTGTTCATTGTCTTATTTCCCGATCGTAATCTTGACCTCTTGTAGTCTTTCTACGGGCATTAGAGATTACCGTTCATGCTTTAACCTCATTAATCTAAGTTCTTGTTCCTTCTTGGGCACATATATCATAGTGTAAAACTCTACATTGAGTGGCTCTTGCGCCTTTTATTAAGTGAGCATCAATAAACGAGACTGCGTTTTAGCAATTTTGGAGGACCATTATCTTAAAGTCATCAGAACGTGAGTTAGCATATTTTACTCCTTTTATGTACAGTGTCTCTTCAGCCGATCGTGGTCCTTCCCAACTTCCTTTCCCTTATAGCACTAATTATCATGAGTACTTACCTATAACTACAGAATTAACTCTTCTTAACACTATATATAATATGCCTCTCAAGTGAGAGGGACGAATGAAGCCAAGCTTCTTGGCTTGACAGTCGAACTCTCTGCCTCTGAAGGGCAGAGTCTCGTTCGGGGAGGTTGAGCAAACCGATCCCGTTCATACGGGATCTACGGGCATTTTTTGGCCGAGCCTACGGGCTCGGGAAACCCACGCTAAACTCGGCCGTGTGCCATATGCAACCCTCGTGGGGGCGGGGTTTATGCTAGATACCGAATGAAGCCGAGCTTCTCGGCTTGACGGTCGAACTCTGTGCCTTAAGCAGAGAGGAACCCGGACGAGGCTCCGCCGAAGGGCAGAGTCACGTTCGGGGAGGTTGATCAAACCGATCCCATTTATACGGGTTCCACGGGCATTTTGGGCCGATCCTACGGGCTCGGGAAATCCCCATTAAACTCGGCCTTGTGCCACATGCAACGCTCGTGGGGGTGGCTAGATATCGAATCGAGCCGAGCTTATCGGCTTGACGGTCGAACACTCTGCCTCTGAGAAGAGAAGAACCCGGACTAGGCTTCTCGGAGGTTGGCCAACTCGATTCTGATTTTACAGTTTCTACGGGCATTTTTTGGCCGAGCATACGGGCTCGGAAAACCTACGAAAAACTCGGCCTTGTGCCACATCTTTCCCTTGTTGGGGGGGGGCAGTAAATATCGAATCGAGTCGAGCCGATACTCGTTCACTCCAAAGCAGACTGACAGTCATACTAACACCTTCCACATCTTGTATTATTATTTCGTGTAATATACCTTCGTTATTTCTACTCTTGTGTTCGTGTTGTTCTTCCTAGGTCCTAACCTGGACCATAACAATATCAATGAAACCAAGCAACATAGACAATATGTTGAAATGTGAAGAAAAGCGAAAAATCCCAATAACATCCTACAATGAAGACTAACACAGAAGAAATGTCATGCTTTCAAAAAACACTTTGAGTTAAAATTCAACCCTAACCACACTAAACTAAAGATGCCGTCAAAACAGAACATATATCAATATACGCGCAACCATTACAAATGTCATGGCTCCTTACCTATAACTACAGAATGAACTCTTCCTAACACTATGTATACTATTCCTCTCAAGAGAGAGGGATGAATCGAGTCGAGCCGATAGTCGTTCACTCCAAACCAGACTGACAGTCATACTAACACCTTCCACGTCTTATTATTATTTCGTGTAATATACCTTCGTTATTTCTACTCTTGTGTTTGTGTTGTTCTTCCTTGGTCCTAACCTGGACCATAACAGGTATGTAGGTCTTTGCGAGGACCATAACACTAATCAATGTTTGACCCTTAGTATTCCTCTCTATTCATGTTTTATCATCCATTTACTCAAGCTCATTACTAGTTTGTTTGTTTTTTTCATTCGGCTCCACTTGGCATCCATATGTCCGATGAATTCCAGATTCTCCAAGACTATTTTCTACATTGTGTCCCAAAAATATCAACTGTCTCTTTCTGATCATTTTCTTTTATCATGCCACTCCGTGCAAGGCAATACATCCACTAAGACACAAGGGTTACTGTTGGGGCGCACCCACCTTCTAACTAGTAATGGACTGGTCCCTCTTATATAAGTCAGCTCTAGAGAGAGGACGGGAGAGAGAGAGCGTCAGCAGTCCAGATAAGCTTACCCGTTACATACCGTTGGACTATAGACTTTGGATATTGTTTCGTACTAACCAACCTTCGTTCTACTAATCACTCTATTGTTAATTGCTTTTATGAATATACCAGTATTTTCCTCTACAACTGTGTTTGTCTTGATTCACACACCGACACGCGGGAAACTCACAACATCTCAACAGTTACTGAGCGAGAGAGAATATTAGAAAAAGAAAATATTAAGGTAGAGAACAATAAGAGAACCGGAATTAAGACATCAGAAGGTAACGATTGACTTTGCATTTACAATTTTAAAACTCAATGTTAACTGGAAGGCAAGAACCCAGAAGAGATTTCCACAAGTGAGAAGTACAAGAGAAGAAACTTTCAACATAGAACCTACAGTTGCATCTAGACAATTCAAGTATAGTCAATAATAGTACCGTGCTTAAATACATAAAGTCTAGGTACCATAGAGCATAGTTATTCAGAGCATTTACCATAAATGTCTTTATAGAAAAGGAACAGAGAATATACGCTACAGCTGTGGGAAAGGGACTAAAGCCGGGATGTCGGGTCAGGATCAGTAACATTGCAGATTCTTCTCTGGATTTTATCAAGAATCTCTAAATATATAGCAGGGACGCCAGGCCTGATGTGGCAGCAATATTCAACGGGAAAATGGCAGACTTATAAATATGTCAGATAGATTCTGGTGAGGAAAATTGTCTAGCACGACACATGGAACCTAAGCGATACTGTTTTCCTTAAAACAACCTTCATGTTCCGCCCGTGGCATTTTAAGTATTCTCTATTGCCTCAAATTTATACTTCATCCATGTGGAAATTGTACAGAATTCACTGTCAATAGGAGGACTGGGAACCGTCTTAATTTCAAAAATTATTTTACTTCTTAAAATTTATTTTTAGTTTTTTGTAAGGTATCAGAGACCCGCAGATATGTCATTTCCAGCCAGCATATTTGAATTTGACTGCCTGGTAGCAAAATCGGGTAAACTCAGTATTGACTTATAATAATCTGTACTAACATAAAGAGCCTTCATAAATTCTTATCATTACAAAATGAAATAGCTTAGAGCTACGGCTAAAGTGATAAATCATTTATCTTTGGCGGGAAAACTTGAAGATAATCATCAGATTCCATTTCAGGATCAGTTCAACTTTTACTAAAGTGTCAGTAGTTAATATTATAATATAGGTAAATATAGCTTTCTGTAGCAAAACATGGAATACAAGACGGAGTGCATTTTGGTCAGAATTTATTACAAATAATAATCACTCAAAATCCATCGCTTTCCAAAATAATGAAATTGTGTGCTGTTATGAAGCATGAGGAACCTTTTGCAGAAAAGAATGATATGAGTATCCTGGAAATGTTACTGGATATTCTTAGGACCAACCTCAAATTGCAGGAAATTTGGAAATGGAGAATTTTTACCATCACTAATTTAGGTTACACTATGATGTATTCTTACACAGTAGACATTATTAATGATTTGACAGAAACGAATATCACATCTTTTTTCTTTATGAACTTCGAGCTTTGAAAACAATAATATATTCATGTTTCATAACAGTGTAACTCAAGTGTAATATTTGGTTGGAAAAAAGTTGTCTTGTTCGGTAGCTGAGATTTTAAACTGACATTCCGGTGCACACGTGGCAGAAATGTATGACATGTATACATATTATTTAAGGAGTCATTTCACTGCATCTTTGTATGCGATTTATGCGTTGATTGTGGACTTTTCACCGATTTTGCGTTAAAAGGAAAAATGAGATGATGGATTATGGACAACAATCGATGAAAATATTTTGGAATTGACCAATTGCAAGGGCGTCGATTACCATCAGACATCGCAGAAAACGGTAGAGCTTGACTGAATCTCTTACTACAGACAACATACTTGGACATTTGGAATTACCATTATTCCAATCTCTGCACTTATTATAGCATACATACGGATGATAATGGTTATGTCTCCTTTCACATAAATACAGTAGTAAATACTGTATGTTGGTCTACAGTTGAAGATTCGTTTCCAGCTGTGCTGGTCAAACAATCTGCTTCCAGGCAGAGAGGATCCCTAAAAGAGGCTATGTCGAAGGGCAGAGTTTCGTCACGGAAACAGCTACCGGACTCCGTTTTATACGGTGTCTACGGGGAATTTTTAGCCAAGCATACGGGCTCAGATACCCACATTAAATTCGACCTTGTGCCACATCTTACCGCGAGGGGCAGTTGGCAGATATCCTGCAGTTAGAGATTCATTGTGGAATTCACTTGACTCACTTCTAGCAGTTGACTATTTCTTCTACGCGCCGCTGGCGAATCTTATATGTGTTGTTCTTGTCCTAAGTATTATCGTTCATTACCAACCCTCATTTGATTATTCTATTCAGTAAACATTATCTATCTCAGTCTTATCCTTTATCTATCTATCTATCTATCTATCTATCTATTGCAGCATACCTACGGACGATAATGGGTATGTCCCCATTCACCTAAATACAGCACAAATACTGTATGTTGGTCTCTAGTTATAGATTCATTGTTGAATTCACTTAACTTACGTCTAGAAGTTGACTACTTCTTCTCCGTGCCATTGGCGAATCTTATATGTGTTGTTCTTGTCCTAAGTATTATCGTTCATTACCAACCTTCGTTTGATTATTCTATTCAGTAAACTTCCCTAGATTACAACAGTAATATTTTTCGTGTAAAAAATTCCAATACTATTGAATATCTGTAAAATAAACATACAGTATCTCATCACTCATAAAGGTGCTAAGATTTAACTGAAAGGAATCATGAAGGTACTTGAAAAATGGCCAAAGTTAGTGGAACAAAATTTCCAGTATATGGTTCAATAAGTTTATGTAAATTATTTTCCATACGTTAGTGATAGCATACAATTTTTATGCTGAAACTGCTTGGACATTAACAATAACACTACAATCTAGGCTTGATGCCACACACTCGAATATTACGAACTATATTTAACATCGCTTAAAGACAGCATCCAACTAAATCAGAGTTCTGGGAAACCATACCTGATATGTCTACAGTCTTAGCCAAACGCAGAATGCGCTTTACGGGACACTGCTGGCGAGAAAAAAAAAAAAAAAGGAAATGCGAGTAAGATACTGTTCTGGATACCTAGCCATGGATCAATTGACCAGTTATGTTACGACATAGAACGCATCCCTAATGAAGTACCGTCCTTGATGCAGAATCGTGATGGTTGGCATGTTAGACTCAGGAATATCCGAGATCGCTCGACCGAATTAATATAAACAATATTTTCTTTGAAATTCTTTCTCGGAAAATTTTGTTCCGACACAATGCTTTCGATATTACTGTGTATCTATGTGTTCATTGTTCCGTGACTTTTATTAAAAAAAGAGTCGAACTAAATCACGCAAATATTTTGAAGAAAATTATCAGTCAAGGTACGCAATAAGAAGTGAAGATTGCCTGTTTAGTCATCCAATTTCAAAGAAACAGTGTATTCCATCTAAGGATACAATTACACGATAAAGAATGCATAGGAATATTAGAGAGCATCTTGTGAAATGGCTGAAACTAGAACTCTTCTAGAATTTAACCAACACATAGCAATGGAAATTATTTTGCATCTTATTGACTATGGTACAAGTTACATCTTTTGTATCTTACATACTATGATACGAATTACATATTTTGCATCATATTAACCATGGTACTAATTACTTTTTGTATCTTATTGTCTAGGATACGGGTTACATTTTTGTTTATCTTATTAACAATGGTACTATTTATAATTTTGTATCTTATTAACCATGATACGAGTTACATATTTTGTATCTTATTTGCTATGGTAAAAAATACATTTTTTGCATCTTATTAACCATGGTACGAGTTACATTTTTTGTATCTTATTGAGTATTTTACCAGTTTTTTTGTTTTCTTTTTGCATCATATTTAGTATTGTGAAAGATCCATTTCTTTGTATTTTATTGAGTATGGCACAGTTACATTTTATGTAACTTATTGTCTATTTTACGAGTTACATTTTTACAGTGTGGTAATGAATGTAACTATTAAAATGTGTAATGAAATTATTTCCTGAGTTCCTGGAGCGCGTTTATCTTCAATGACCACAAACGGAGAGGACTACAATAATCTGTATATTTATGACATCATTTAATGCGTGAATACACTCAAAGATTCTGTACAGAGATTGTAAAGCAGAGCCATAAAAATCTCAAATTACAACTTTGATGTGGTTTTAGAGTAAGTTTTAAGAACAGTCTATCCAATGCCAGTTGGTGTAGCCCCCCCCCAAAATCTGTTTCTTGGAAGAAACTTCATTCTACCTGGAGTTGTAACTTAACAACCTCTTGTACCAGACAGTATATCTAAGCGAAATTACAGCCATTAATCTCAACGCAATGCATTCTTCGTGACAACGTCTGGAAAAATCAGAGAGTTGGACACGCACGCTTCATCACCAAGTATGTTAAAACCTATCACTCTAGGAAATATATTTTTGCGCAAAATTTACAAATCAGTACGTTGGAGTAAAGTGTAGTATCTGTTTTCCTCATCGCTAATGATAATTTTTAATCTAGCCATTTCCTTTTAAGGAAACATTCTGCATTTATCGACTGAGCAGTCAGTGCTACTTAGATTACTCCAGTCTGGGATCAAAGCGTGGTATCTCTTCTTCTCATCTCTACTGGTAATGGTAAAAATAGTCGCTTTCGGAGAGAAAACATTCAGAATTTTGGCCGATCAGTTAAGTGAAGACTTTATTTTCCCAAGAAATTACACTTCTCAAGTGATCTCACTGTCATCGTCCTTTTCAGTATTGATGGGCGATTTCTTCCTATTTCTTTATTTAACGTAGTTTGGAATATCAATATTTTGATTATGTCTTTGTTTTCTCTTGGAGTTATCTTATTTTTTTTAATTGTTGCTGCTGCTGAGAGTTACGAAAGATGGTCCCTCTTATTTGGTACAGTCATTTTTTCTAATTCAGCAGCGCCAGTAAAAAAACGGTTTTGATGGGATCTATTTTTTTTTTGTTTGTTTTAGGTCCGAAGGATTCAGTCACTTGAATCAATTAGTAAAATAATTATTAAATAGCATACGCATGTAATCGGATGTAAATTCCTAAGAGTACATCCTTCCTAGCTTTCGGTGTATACGGGCAGACGTAGAGACACACCCCATTGTGATGATTATACTCTATCCGTCGGGTAAAAGTGTTGAGTAGTTTGATTCCTCGGTCAAAGACTGGTAACAGAATATTCAAAGGAGATGTTGATATGTATCATTAACTAGGTAGCATGGTAGAGGTGGGAACCTCAAGAACATCCCGAAAAATAAATGGAAACAGGACAGGCAACGTAAAGAAAATAAATAAATTTGGTAACGATATTATCGCTGATCCTTGTGAAACCTTTTGGTTAAAATTTGTGTTGTGTATTCCGAGATGAAATTCGGTCTCCAATGAATGACAAACGCAAGAATTAAATATAAGAAATTAAATGTATTTACACAATAATACAAGGGGTAATACTGTTAGTAAATCCAGGAACGCGGTTAGTAGCAATAACATATAGATATATACAGTCTCGAAGTAGGACTTCCTTAGAGTCGGGCGTGCTTGTAACTGTGACTTCTACAAGCGGTTACCTCACACTATTACTCTACCTCCAACTCACTCTCAATCTCAATCTCTCTGTACTCCGTCTACTCTAACTCTGGATATTTAACGGCAGCAGTCCAAGTAACACTCTGGTCGAGTCCACTTATATGAAAAAGTGGAGGACCCCATCATAGTTTGAATATAGAGTTTTAGAATGAAGAACAACTTATCGAAAACAGACATCTGATAGAGATGAAGTGATAGTACACAGAGCTCGTCTTTGGAATCAGGCAAAGGAATATCAACTACAAAGTTGGAATATAAAATAAAATGTATGTAGAAACACCAGTTCTCATACGGTCACCAAAGTTAAGAAATGTCTAACCTGGTCAGTACCTACATGCTTCAGAAAACCAGGTGCTATAAGCTTGGATGTGCGGATGGCGTAATGGATAACGAACGGCAGCCATTAATCTCAATGCAATGCATTCTGCGTGAAAACGTCTGGAAAAAATCAGAAATTTGGACACGGAACCTTCAATACCAAGTGTGTTAAATCCTCTCACTCTCGGAGATATATTATTGCGCAAAATGTACAAATCAGTGTGTTGGAGCAAAGTGTAGTATCTGTTTTCCTCATCGCTAATGGATTTGAACTAGGAATGCCGAGTTCCATTTCCAACCTGTTTTGTTATATTGACTTACGGGCAAATGTCCATGGGGAAGGTATGAAACCATCTATTTACCCCCCAGTTATGGGTTAAAAAGCCGAATGTGTATCAGTATATCGTTATTATGTAGATAAGATTTTTACAATCTAAAAAATCAGCTAAATGTTGAAAATCAAATCAATCATCAATAGAACAACAGATTCCCTGAAAAACAGTGATACAGTTTTTTTTGTTATTTTTTAACTCGGTATCACGCCATGAAAAGCAGTAAAGCCACTAAGTGACGAGTGGTTACAGGGTGTGGAAGAAATAGGAACATAATAATGAGCAGGAAGAGGAAAGAGTAATCAGGAGGACAATAGATAACGATTGATATTGCAGTTAAATTTCTGCAGATTAAAGTTGACCGGAAAGCGTAGAGTCGGAAAGGAGTTCCACAGCGAGAAGCGCAAGAACTGTTAGCTTAGAACTTATGGATACATCTAGCTAGCTCATCTGTCAAGTGATTAGAGCTTGACAACAGTCTAGTACTGCGCTTAAATTCCTGGTCTAGTTATCACCGTTGAAACTGAAGCAACTGAAAGAAGCATACTTATAAATATTATACTTATGATATAACTTTGTATCCCCCAAAAATGTTATGTCTAAGATTGGCATATAATATATTCAGATGATCTTTACCTACACACTCTACGGTGGAATATGTGATGGAGATTCTGACGTCGGAGTGTCATTCCCGGAAATTGGCTTGCCTAATTATAAAAGACATGAAGTGACCGAAAACAGAAACATGTCAGAGTGGGAAATATAATCTCAACTCAACATAAATGTCATGAAAACGGTGATAAGATGTGACACATGGTAAGATTGGGACCTGTGCTCATACGCGTACACTCAGAAAAAGGAGAACATTTACACAATCCTCGCGACCACTGAGAGGCTGGCGGTGCAAGCTATCATTCTTCCCTTTTTTAATGCAATGGGAGGAAGCCAGCGTCACAGGGTTCGAATAATAAGGCCATCTTTATATAGTACTAGCAGCATGGCCCGGCGTTGCCCGTGCTTGATTCAAAAATCGTACGACTCATAAAGCAATCGCTATCACTTGACTTAAAATATTTTTGCTCTTCCTTGCCTTTAAAGAAGTGCCCTTTGCCGCGCTGATGTTGCTACGCCTTA